ATGCAGCCGGGCTGATGGCCGAGTGCAGTGATGTGCCGAGTGTGGGCACTCAGGGCACTCCAAGCCAGGACTGCTTTGCAAGCTGGGAACCCCTGAGAACTGTCTGTCCGAGGTGGGGGTCGGGACCCTTTAAGCACAGCCCTCAGCTAGCCTGAGCAGCAGCTCCACGCTCTAAGTTCTAATCTGATGCCCTGCCGGCACTGCTTCCGGCCATCCTTAACCTCGGTTCAGGGTCCACTCAATGTGGACATGCTAGTTCGAATTAGCAAAATGCTAATTCGAACTAGTTTTTAGGTCTAGATGCACTAGTTCAAATTAGCTTAGTTCGAATTAACTAATTCGAATTAAGTTAGTTCGAATTAGTGCTGTAGTGTAGACATACCCTCATTTATGTGCATGAGCAGGAGATCTCAGATCTTCACATACAAAGCATAGGTGTGTCTGCTTTGTGGGCACAGTCACTTACACGAACAAAAGTGGTTTTCAAAGTGAAGAATGGATGGAAATTTAGCCCCTCATGTCACATCCTACACATAAAAGAGATACTTGATGCACCTCAGGTTCTCAATTTTTGTCTTTTACTCTCTTTTCGATAAGGAAGCTAGTGTAAACAGCAGCTCTAGGGAGAAGTCATGTTTCTGTTTTTGTTGCATTATTACACCAAACTTCCAGTTGCTTCCGTTTCCTCAATAACAACATGGCAGTCAACTCAAAGGAGAATTGTAATATTGGAGTCTAAGCCATTTGGCAGTGTGTTTCAGGATCATTTTCAGATACAATACATGTTTTCCCTCCACTGTAGTACAGGGCACCATACCTGTCTTCTTACCTAGCAGCGTGGTCGATGGAACAGTGTCTGATGATACTTTGAGATGGAATTCCAGTCACCCACACAACACGGATCAATGGAAATCAACAGAAGATCAAGGAAGAAAAAAAATTAAAAATTAAAACAAGGTTAGCTGTTTCAGATGACTCAGTCCATATGCCATATTGGGACATGTAAAAAAAAAAAAAATCTAGCACTAGTACCTGAGTAGTAGGAATTCAACAAAGTTTTGCTCTGAAGGGTTTTGCTTTGGGCAGAAAATGAACAAGGAGAGGATGATGCTAGGTAGGAAAGACACAAAGAAAAGACTTTAGAAACAGAGAATGAGAGAGAGTGAAAACAGGGAGAAGATTCCTCAGAGAACATGATAATACTGAATACTTAGCAAAATGAAATACTTTTTTCATCTGAGAATGCATATTAACTTTATATCACTACCACAATACTACAAGACCCCAAACATTGAAATACAGGTTGAAACTCTCCTAATTGGGACTCTTTGGTCTTGCAACACCCATGGTCCGGCAGGAGCACAGGGCTGTGTCTACACTGGCCCACTTATTCCGGAAAAGCAGCCACTTTTCCGGAATAACTTGCCAGCTGTCTACACTGGTCGCTTGCTTTTCCGGAAAAGCAATGACGATCTACTGTAAAATTGTCAGTGTTTTTCCTGAAAAACTATGCTGCTCCCATTTGGGCAAAAGTCCTTTTCCAGAAAAAACTATTCCGTTTTAAGCATTTCCGGAAAAGGGTACCAGTGTAGACACAGCCCAGATGTTTCAGGACCAGAGAGTCTGAGGGCTAGCGCCAGGGAGCCCTGTAACCTGGCAGGGCAGTGGGGTTTCCCAGCAGGGCTGTGGGTGCCCAGTCCAGAGGCTGTGGTGCTGCCCAGAGTGGCAGCAGGAGCCAGACTCTGCAGCGGGAACCTGATATGCAGAGGCAGTGGGAGCCTGGCGAGCAGAGGTGGCAGGGCTGTTCAATAGGGCAGTGGGGGTTAACAGGGCAGTGGGGGCAGGGAGAGGAGGGAGCCAGCTGTGAGGGAAGTGGGCAGGTCTGGACTGGTGGGGGGGGTGGCAGGGAGGCCAGAAATGACCTCCCCAGGTCTGGCAAAATCCCTCATCTGGGACAGGTCAGGTCCCGAGGCTTCCGAACCAGGAAGTCCAACCTGTACTGCTAGTGTAACATATAATGTGTGGGAATATTGCAGACTATGCCTTTTTTAAATAGGTGTTTTATTTGTTGTTACACAAAAAATAAATTTGTATTTTTTCTCAAAGAAACGGATTCCTAAACATAACTCCCAGAGGCACCCTTTTCCGGAAAAGGGATGCTAATAAGACAAGTCGGAATTGCAAATGCCACAGGGGATTTAAATATCCCCCGCGGCATTTGCATGAACATGGCTGCCGCTTTTTTCTGGCTTGGGGCTTTGCCAGAGAAAAGCGCCAGTCTAGACGGGATCTTTCGGAAAATAAAGCCTTTTCCGGAAGATCCCTTATTCCTCTTAAATTCCAACTAGTCTCATTAGCATCCCTTTTCCAGAAAAGGGTGCCAATGTAGACACAGCATGTACTTTTGGGTTTATTAAGCCCAGCAAGTTGGCACACTGTTCCACACATGCCTAACACAAAAGGTGTTAGCTGAGATGGATGGGATGCTTGGATATGAGAAATGGCACCTATATTCTCCAACTCAAGGGATGGGAAAGGATCAAAAGATCATTTACTTGCTAATCAAAACAGACCAAGGAAAAGGCCAGAGACCAGCATTCATATGGAGCACTTACTTTTTAGTTAGCTGATTAGGGTTGCTCAGTGTCCAGTATTGACCCAGACAGTCCGGTATTTTTGCCTCCTGTCTGGAAACAAAATTCAGAAAATACTGGACACCTACAATGTCTGGTATTTTCTGATTTTTTTCCCAGTCAGAAGGTGAAAATACCGGGTGCTTGCCTGGTTCCAAAGGGGAGCTGTCTGGCCCGGAGCAGGAAGACAAGATGGCCCTGTTAGGGCCAAAAAGCCTCAAAGGATTTCTTAAAGGGGCTACGCTGGGTTTTTTTTTTTCAACAACTTTGGTCTCCCCTTTTTTTTCTGCAACAGAATTTTTTACTGGGTATTTTTTTTGGGGTGTGTGTGGGGTATTTGATATTTTGGTTAAACCATCTGGCAACTGTATAGCTGATTTATGAAGCTGTCTTATAAATGGGTCAATTTAAGTGTGAATATGACAATTAATAATTTATAAGGGCACTTTTTGTAATTCTTTGTAGTTTGTTCCTATAGTGACAAATATTGACCTCATTTCCACTGTGATGGGAAACAAACTAATACAAAATCACAGTACATCAAAAAGATGCCAACAGATAAAATAGAAATAACTATTCCATAATACAAAAGTTGATACAATTCAATACATATCAAAGTAAATATCATATGCAATTGCTGCATCTCTAGAATAAACATTACTGACAAATTTATAAACACTCATCAACATTATTCCACGAGCTGAACAGAAGCATTCACTGGTCTAGAGAATTTCAAGTGGAATTTCATAAAGTCTGCAGAACTGCCTACTAAACAGTACCTCGCACAATGAAAGCACTTGCAGGCTCTTTCAGTATAACACTTTTCTGTTGCCATGTTTTTCATCAACACCTGCAGCTTATAATATACCAGCTGATGTAACAGGGGTCAGAGAAGGGTCTTCAGGAGTTCTTCACCAGCTGATTTTAGGTATGATGCATATCTATGTTTTGGGGCGCCTAACCTCTGCAGCTTGGCTGCTGTATTTTGTTGCCTCTACTCAGCCTTGAGTGTTGTATTAGTGAGGAAGCACTCACTTCTACAGAAGGGCAACTGAGGTATAGAAAGTTCATGGGACTTGCTTAAGATCATGCAGCAAGTTAGTAGCAAAATAGAGAGTGAAATCCACATTTTTTAAGATCCAGTGATCAGGGCCGGTCCTAACCCAATTGGCAGCCCCAGGTGACTGCCCGGCTTACCCGCCCCTAAGACCGGCTCTGCCAATGATCTTAGTGAAATCACTGGATCACACTGTCTTGGTTCAGAATAAGGTATTTTTGTATAAAAGCTTTATAAACATTTTAAGTAAATTTAATAAAAAGCTTTATATTCAGTGAAACAGAGCGAAGTGGCATGAAGGGAAGGTGAATTATTTCTTTTGGATGAGGAGGGAGGACAGAAACTCCAAAAGGCCAGATTTTCACAGATTGTTTTCAATGGAAGATCTGCAGAGAACATTTGGGCATTGGTACAAATCAGTCAAGCACTGGCTTGCATAACCAGTGAGTTGTGTACGTTATCTATCATCCAATTGCAAGAGTTTTACAGGCACAATTGATATGTACATATTGAATGAGGCTTATCCAGATGAATTTCAACATATTGCAGAGGACCAGCAGAAAATATCTGCAACACCTAACTCCTCTAGAACAATGTGTGGATCTTGTACTGAATCACTATCCAGGACTCAATTTCACATCCACTTTAGAAATCTTTGACAAACATGTCCCAGAATATAACATGGATTTGGCATAGAACGTTTAGGAATAATTAAAAGGCAGCTGATATAGTAACTTAATTAAACTTGGCAGTGCCCCTTCATTCTGGATAGTCTTGTCTGCCTCCTTGATGGTCTGATGATACACAGCTGTATTTATTGATTTTAAATAATTTTCACTCTCCTCTAAATCACCGTGTTAGGTTCAGGAGGACGCACCCCAACTGAAAGTAGAAGTCACATATGGATTCAAATAAGAATTAGACCTTGATGTAGTTGTCTACTTTGAGTGACAGAATATTTAAAGTGCCATTGTCTTCTCCCTTGTACGTGCACAGAAGAAAATACAAGTAAGGTGTGAGCAGAGAATAAGAATGTCTGAGTAGAGACATGGGATGGAGGATGATCCTTAACGCTCTTGGAGGCACTTACTAATACATTCCCCTCATGACCTTGCTCCTGCCACTAGATAGAATAATTATGTGACCACACCAGAGTTCATTAATGCCAGATAAGATTCTCCTACACTCACCCAGTTTGATCATGGCTTCTCATTTTGTACTTCTACATGCCATGTACATGCTCCTTATGGGGGATGTATGGATTTCAAGACCTGGATATTCAATGAATGACACTTTGCTCCCTAAATAAGATCCTGAAGAGTTAAACAAATCTTAAATCATTCAACTTTATACTAATACTTGCATTTTCTAGGCATCTAATTCTTCTATGTCAAAGTGTCCAGCTGTTTGCCCTCATGATGTAGATTTCTGTTCTGCACTAGCCCTGCGTAATCTATAGCCCTGTGATGTTCCTTCATTGTGGTGTCAGAAAAGTGGCGCCTTTGTGAAAGACATATCATTCATGTATTGTTGTTCAGATGATGTGCTGCCTGTCATCACATTGGTGGGACTTCCAGACTACATGAGATACAGTTACAATGATACAGCATGCACGTTGTTGGATTTTAGCTTCCACCATGTCTCTTCTTTCTTGTCACTTCTTTTTAGCAATACTCCTGCACTGAGCTGAAACTCTGGGGTATCCTGTACTTTGAAGAGGATCTGTCATATTAAGGAACAGTCTCAGATATAGACAGACTTACATCCCCTGGGACTAGCATAAAACTTTCCTTTACACACCTAGGCAATAAATAAAAGATTAATGGTCTCAGTCACCTGCATTGCCTCTTCCTATCCAGAGGAAACAGTTCTTACTGAACATACTGTGAATGCAAACTTTTATTCAAACTTTTATTCTAAATTCTACCAAGTAAATTTAGAGTCAAAGGGAATCCTCTCCACCTGTCTGACAGTTAACATGGAGGCAGTCACAGAGAAATCTGAGACTCGAGTTTCACACTCCTTTTTAGCAGCACTTCTGCCATTTATTTTGCCCTCTTCATTTCTAATACCTACATCTTCTGCCCATGGAAACAGATCCATTTAAGTATCTATAGCTCTCAAATAGGGAGATATCCATTGCAAGCAAGTTAAACTTACTGAATCCATTAACATCTTGACAGCTGGAAGAAAAAGCTTCTTCATTGTGAACTGCACTGAGTTTGGTGGTGTTCTTGTCTGAAGCAACAACGGGACCCATCTCCCTCTGGGTGCTGCTTTGAGTCTCCTTCTGCTTCTTTGCTAGTTTCCTTTAATGTGTTTTGAAGAGGGGAGAAATTATGGTCAGTTTCTTTCATTAGCAACAAAGCAAAAGAGAAAATATCCTTTTTACCTTTCCTTCTTGGACTGATATATGGGGATAATTGTAAAGGGCAAAGAAGTGAATTATTCAGCTTTACAATAGTCTCAGAGGGTTTGCCATGGTGGTCTGTAACTTTAAAAACAAGTAGTCCTGTGGCACCTTAAGGCATGTCTACAATAGGAAATTATTTTGAAATAATTACGTTCAAAATAAGCTTGTTCCCCAGGGAAAGCAGGAATATCGATTTCAAAATAACCAGCCCATTATTTTGAAATAAAAGGAGGTATGTCTACACTACAAAGTTAATTCGAACTAATAGCTGTTAGTTTGAATTAACTTTAATAGGGGCTACACATGCAAACCACTAGTTCGAACTTAATTCGAACTAGTGGAGAGCTTAATTCGGACTAGGTAAACCTCATTCTACGAGGAGTAACGCCTAGTTCGAATTAAGTAGTTCAAATTAAGGGCTGTGTAGCCACTTAATTCGAACTAGTGGGAGGCTAGCCCTTCCCAGCTTACCCTGGTGGCCACTCTGGGCACAACCAGGGAAATTCTTCTGCTCCCCTCCCAGCCCCGGAGCCCTTAAAGGGGCACGGGCTGGCTACGGTGCCCGTGCCAGGTGCAAGCCTGCCAGCACC